TTAAAAACGCAGTGCAACTCCAGAGGATCTTTGATGCTTCTCAAGTTTCTTACTGTCAGGACGAGTAAACTCACCCCGGGACTTGTATGTCAAAGCTAGACACATCTTGCCAAGTGCATCCCAAACTGTACTAAAGAATTTGTAGGATAAATTCTCCTTCCAAAGCATACATGTGACTAAATGGTTTTCAGTGGAAGTCATGCAGATGCGACCAGGGATGACATGCAGACCAACACTTGGATCTAAACTACCAATCCTGTTGGTATGAGCTGCCACAAGCTGAGCTTGTTCTGCCCTCATTGAATTAGTGTCAGAGATACAGAAGAAAATTTTTACAGTCCTCCTTCTGACATAACCTGCATTTCAAGGGACACTCACTACAAGAGAGATACTAGACCTTTTCAAGCACTCAAGTGCACTTACACCAAAATACTGCATAACTACGGTGAATCTTCATCAGCATTGCCAAAACCTGTCATTCCTAATTTCTGCTTCTTCAGTATTTAGGACCTAGAGATATTGGAATACATGAATGACAGCAGACTGGTGACAGTAAAATACATCCCCAGGGTTCCTCCCCATTTTAAAATAAAACGTAACAGGAAGAGGAAAAAGATGCCCATCACAAAAGGGTACTGGATTTTTATTTCCACATTTAAGCACTTCAAAGCTGCTACTTTTCCTCTAGGCACATCTGAACAGCCCTTGAGAAACTCTACAGCCATGGTGAACTGCTTTTTGGAGTCACACTGATGAGAGATGTTCCTCACTGGTACAGACCAGCACTGCAAGTGGTGAAGGTCTGCACAGGAGAGGGGTTGTGTTATGGAATCAGCTTGAGTGGGGGCAGGGGGAGTCCCCAAGATTTTATCTCTCTTAGTGCACTGTCACAGGTGGTCCTGGAGACCTGGTTGCTGTCCTTTGCCTTCTGAAATCAGATGTCATCCTTTTTCTTTTAATCCATTTTCAGCTTTATGTCCATATTCAGAAAACACCAAAGAGGTGTTGGGTTTTTTTTAAATCCATTTATTTATTTGCTGCTGCAAAAAGATGGCCCACAACATGTTCCCACCTCAAAGTCACAAATGTTCTTCATCCTATGACTTCAAAGCTCTTGGCCAAGATACGTTTTTTTCAAGGACTGGCACCTGTTAACAAAGAACTGCTAAATAAGGCATGGAATGGGAAATGCCCATTTCTTCCTTGAGCTGAAAAATTATTAAAGCTGGAAAAGGGGAGAATGTAGCGAGAGTAAGAGTTAAAAAAATGAGTTGAACTGCCTACTGCTATCCACATCACACAGCTGGTGACTTCACTTGGGCTCGAATACATACTAGCTTCCTTGTGTAATCCATCTAATGTGTTTTCAAGCTGTGAGTAAATACACAAAAGTGTCAGCTCTTTTGGTTCTTGGGAGGTTACGATCCCTGTAAGCAGCCTTTAAGATAACGCTGTAACCCTGCTGTCAGTGGTCTAATTTAAAGGCACTGACTTCAGCACTTGGTAGGAAACATGCACTTTTAGGTGATCAACCTATTTACGTATTTACGTGTGTGCATAAAGGTGCATGATATTGGGGTAGCCGAGATCTTGCCAACCATGCCTTTGGGTGCAGAGGTGATATATAGACCTTGTGTGATGCTGCTGCTCTCCAACCACTATATATGAGGCCTGTTCCAAACCATTGCAAGTACAGTACGTTGCAAAGGGTCAGTGAAATTCCACTTACCGCTCCAAAGTACACATATTTAACATTATGAGTCCAGGATCTATGCAATTCACTTCTCCTAAAAGCAAGGTTTTCCTTCTAGAGTCACATGCCCACAGTCACTGACAGGACCACGTGTTACATCCTGGCAGAGAGTATTTTATGGTACTGAAGTGTGCCCCGCCTTTCAAATAGAGTGTAGAAAAAATAATTGTAAAATTTCACTTAGCTCCAAAGATAATCAAGAAGCAGGCTAGAGGTCAATATTTTGGCCACGGAAAGGAAAAGCAAAGCAACCAAGCTAAATTACGTAGCTCTCATCTCGCCAAGTTCTTCTATATGCCAAACTAAACACAGACTAAACACAAATGCCAAGGAAAATTGTGAAGAAAGAAAAGAGCCTGAGGATTCCATGAACCAGATGGTTTAGTCATGGAAATGGATGTAACTGTTGGTAACAGCTTTCTGTGCCTGTACGAACTTCTCATCTGATCACTGTTTTCAGAAACTGGTAGGTTCATTAACAGATACTTAAATTCAGGATACTTTAAGTTTCAGAAAAAAAGGTTTGGGTTTTTTTTCCCCCCCTTTTAATAGGGCAATAAAAAAAAATTGGCAAAAGAGCTCAAGCACATGGAGATGCAGAAGCTTACAGATTTTTTTTCCCTGAATTCCCAAGCGGAAACACACATTTTGGCACATGCATTCCATAGAGTCCTTTTGTAGCACATGAAAAACCCAGCTTTTCCTGCAGCTGTGGGGGTCTCCCTTGTTAAGACCATCCTTGGAACTGGTGCCTTATGTGTTACTTTTCTTACTGTATGAAGATACAGACTATGCCATACCATTTTTTGTGAACAGTGGATCAGGTCTCCAGCCAGTTTGAAAACATAACTTCCAAAAACAGCTTTCCGACTTCTTATATTTTACTGTCCTTCCCTGTGAACTTGTAAGGTTTTAAGAGTGATTTTTGCATCAGAAAGCCTCTTTTATTTACCAGTACGTATTTGTCCTGTACACGTTCTTCATAAGATTTGGGACTGAAAAGAAAAAGGATATTCTTCCAAACACAGAAAGATGGAATATCATAATCGCATCACCATCACTAGCAAAAATGAATGAAAAATGGCTTAAGTACCTCTAACGTTCAAAGCTCTTATTTCATATTCTTTCTTAAATAGCTGGAACCAGCAGCCAGACAACGAACTTACTTTCTAGAAGCCCACATTTTCTTGAAGTGAACTCACAGTAACATGCTAATATTATAAGCACAGGCTTCTGACCTCACTGCAGAATTAACCTGGAGAAGGATGTGGACTATGAAAGAGATGGTTTTAATGGGAACACTTAGGAACAGTCAGTCTTCAGCAGTCAGTCAGAAAGACCAAATGAACATTGCCTGATACACTCTTCATTCTGCAAAATCTGACATTTTGCAGAAGTATTGGCAACATTCATGTTTACAAACTTGGCAGAAAATAAATGCTTTTTCGTTTTTATCCTAGAAGCGATTATCACACAAAAAGCTTGAAAAATTCAAAACATAATAACCTGTTGGTACTGCTGTTCACAATCATGCTGGTGTTCTGACTCCATTCAAACCTCAACCAGTGCCCATGAGGGCTTTAAATATTGGCCAGGGAACTGGAAATTAATGTAGCCTGCTTTGCTACAGTAAGTCCCTCAAAACAATTTCATACAGCCTTTTGATGATCATGGATAAACAGAAAAACAACTGAGCTTCCTAATAAAGAGGAGAAACATACCACTTTTTTTTCCACATCAGTGAGCAGCCAGTTGCTTCCTAGTTTTGGCTTTGGCAATGAATATTATGTACAGACTTCATGAACAATGTACACAGGGTTCTTCCATGGTGTCCTCCCACTTGTTTTCATTTCAGTCTGAGTTAGTCCTGTCACAGTTAGTGGACTGTGCACTGGAACCAGGAACAGATCTGGTAGTCAAAGACCACCATACCATACCAGTGTTATATACCTATATTTTACCAATGCCATTTCTACCCCAGTAAGTGAGGCAAATGCAGCCCTACCCTGACCAACTGCCCAATGATCTTTTTGGCGGACTACTGTTCCTTAGACCTTTTATGACTACCATCTACTAGTGTTTAAAATACCCACACTGTAGCATCAAATAGTTTTGCTTTTCATTTTTCTAGGGCAGGGCTCCCAAGCCTCCTCACAAACACTGAGCTTACCCTCTATCTCTGTGCCAGTTTGTTAGCTTTAGTTCAGTCTGATTTGAAAATAAAAACACTCCAACAAATCATGACTTAAGTAAAATTTCCTTATGTATTATGTCAGTTACAGTTATGCAATGGCCAAATATTAGTAAATTCGTAGCTAATATTAAATTAAAACTCTGGAAAAAACAGCAACAAACAGTTCCATGGCACGTACCATTCTTACCATGGGGATAATGCTTACCCTTTGTTCAAAGGGACAGTGGAAACAAGTATAAATATAGAAACTGTCTCAAAACTGCAAATCTAAGCCTATGTTAATGCTCTAAACTGTCACTGACTTTCACTAAAATTATTTAGATCCAAACATAAGCAATGATTTAGGACATCAATTTATAACGTAATGCTGGTGACCCTGTACCAGTCAGGCTGGATTGGTTTCTGTCCACAAAGCAAACTACAGAGTGGTAATATTTTATCGCTGGTCTTGCAAGAGCATATAGTATGTAAATATATTTTTTGAAGACATACATACACGTTTCCCCAAATTCAACTAAGTGGCTGAGTATTCCTCTCCTGGTTTTCAATAATTTTTAAACAGAATAAATACCAAGCCCTTTCTGTTTGGATGCTTTGCTTTGTTTTTCCAGCCTGAATGAGTCTACAGATATTTTCTTAGTTATACAAGGCCAATGTTTCACTTTGCAAACATTGAAGATGAAGGAACACTTGAAGCTTCAGCACCAGAAGGAAAACAAGGAAGAGTGCAGAGGGTAGCTCCATTCGGAAGCACAGAGCTATGACAATTATTGTTCCAGTTTGTTACAAGTAGCTCATAAAGACTTTTATTCTAAGTAGTCCCATTGATCCTGACAACCAAAGTGATTCTTATGTGGGATCACACCTTCAACACCCTTCAGCTGATACAGTTTGTAATCTTGCAGAACAGCAACACAAACAGTTGCCCATAAGCACTGGAGAGATCAGAATACTTGTAATCTCTTGCAAAATGTCATCTCGGTTTATTCAAACCTTCGCCTACTTCCTTAGAAAAAGGAGTCTATCATACTCGGAGCTTGTTCCTGTGATGTTTTTGTTGCTGGAGTGTTGACTTCTTGACCTAAGGTTTTATTTATTTGTTAGGCTGAATGAGGGCAAGGAGAGAAGAGGAGCACCGTAATATTAGCAGATTAATTAATATTACTTGTGATGACACTGATGATTTTCCCTGTTTGTCCCCCGTCTCTCCTTACTATCCTCATTTTGCTGCCTTTTTCATTTTTTCCAGAGTGTTGTCAACAGAGCTGTGAAAGTTCATTCTTTTGAGAGAACAACATTGCTGATTTCCTCTAAGTCTTTGCTTCCATAGGAAGCAGATACTTGGCAGATTTGCAAGGGAACGCTAAATCAACTATGAAAGTTCTGCACTGTTGTCTGTTTCTGAGAAAGTCGTAGAAGTTCTTCTCTAATTGCTTTGATAAGAGAGGCTGAAGAGTGACCTGGCTGGAGGTCCTCAGTGGAACTGGTGGTGTAGCAAAGGCCCTGGCCCTGAAGGCTGTTGTGTGGAAGCTGAGCAGGGGGGGCCGAAGGCTGCCTGGCTGAAGTCCTCGGCATCTGGAATACTGGTGAGGAGGAATATTCTTGGTGTCCATGCATATGCGTCTGGAAAAAGGTAGAAAGCATTATTGCACTTTCTGAACAAACATGATTATCCCAAAAAAGACAAGAAAGCAAAAAGGCAAAGAACAGAGGGAAAGCAGCATGGAGATGCTTCTATCTGCTGCCACTGTTCTTCTATTGTATGAATGAGTGATTCCTTTTATGGAGCACAAAACAAAAAGTGTACACAAAATTGCTGGACTGCCTCAAGTTCAGGGATTTTCCAAATCTCTTTGAGCATCCATTAAAAAGTCTGACCCCCTTTCTAATCTATGGTACATTTAGAAACTGAAGTGGAAGGAGGTGGGAAGAAAAACAGAACTGGAATTCAACAGAATTGGCTTCTCTTTCCTTGCCTTTCCATCAGCTTCCTAAAAGACAACAGGCAAATCACTCTCTTCCCGGCTGTCATTTTTCTCTACTATCTATAAGTAGAGATACTACTACTTTAACCTTCCCCTCCTCTGCCTGGCTTGCCTGTTCAGACTGTACACTTGCGAGGACCCTGTGACTGACCAGTGCCCAGGAAAACACAGTCAACAGAAGAAGCAGCAGGAGAAACTTATTCAAATTGGAAAGATTAGATTTTTCTATACTAACAGCTGTTTTACATATCTGAGAAACACTATCCCAGTTTCAGGACAATCATAGTTTCAGCGTAGAAAGGGGTTAATTCTGCATTTGTTCAGTAACATGTATTTTCTAACAAAGTAAGATAGAAACAAAACAGAAGCCTGAGTTTATGGGCTTGTCTATCTGGAAAAAAATCTGCTTACACTAAAACAAAGCATGAATTTATAGCACACTAGGCGAGTGCACTGACTCCCAGTATGGACACAAACGAGGTACAATTCGAAAATCTAAGTTCCAGCTTACATCCCTAAAGCAAGCGTTTCCTTTTGCCTTGTATTGCTGAAGGCTGAGAGACAGCCAGAAGAAAACCCTGGACACAAAGGACTTGTGCTGAACACACAACTGGGAGCAAAGCAGCATAATCCCCTTTCAAAGGGTCTGTGCTGGGGATGAGGAGCAGCTAGCTGCAGCAAGTTCAGATCACAGGTACCACAATTTAGTAAGCACTCTTTCTCTGTGGATGAGTCTTAAGTAGTAGCAGAGAGAGCAATCTGGTGAGGGAAGAAAGGACTGCAAGGTCAGCTAGAAGAGGATTTAGGGGTGAAGGGGAGGGGAATGAAGGGATTGCAAAGCAGAGCCTGGGAAGGATATGGGGGACCTAGAGTGACTGTGGCAGCAGGGTGCAGGGAACACAAAAATGCACGAGAGTATGTTCCTTAACATCTCTCATAATATAAATGAATAAAATGTAAGCCATTTTGTATAAAGCAGAACTAATAATAGATTCTGACTCTCTTGCATAGCTCATGTACAGCACTGATCATTTACACAGTTAATTTGGGGAGAGAGATTAAGAGGAAAAGAGGCTTTAATAGAAGAATGATAGGTAAAGAAGGTTTTCCAAGTAATATCCTGTCTTACTTCTTATAAAAGGGAGGCGATTTTAGTATCAGAAAGGAATGAATGGGTCTTTTGATTGTTCAGAATTATTCATTTGGCAGTGAAACCTGAAACTAATTCATATGTGCAGTCTAGAGTTAGCAAACCTGACAATTACTCTGTGGGTTTATAGAAAAGAGATGACATAAAAAAATATTAAAAGCAAACATTCCTCGACACATGAGTCTTAACAGCAACCTAAATTATGTTCAGGTTACTTTCACATTAAAATGCATTATGATTCAGCTCCTATCTCATACTGCACTGAATTAGCACCATAAGAATGGTTTCTTAAGGGAAGTTAGGAAGAACATCTGATGACCACAGTGGCTGTTTTTTAACATTAAGGCTAACAAAGTTCTCTTAAATATCTTAGAAAAGCAAAAGTGTGTATTTCTGTGATCTCATATATAACATCAGAATTAAACAGGTCTGAGAAGTTTCAAAACCAGATTGGTTTAGAAACCTAACCTAGACTAAACTACAACACCAAAATAAGCAGAGTAAAAAGGTTGGTAGAATTTTTGCAGTTTTTTTTTTTTTCACTTTTAAATTTCTTTACTAACAGAAATGCACATCGATATATAATATTATATATGTAATAATATAAAGTTTTATATAGTATCTATAAATTATGTATTTTTATATAGAAACTTCTGTATAATTAACAGCAGTACAAAATAATTGACAAAAATATCTTTATTGAATCTTCACTCTTAAAGAATGAAGATTTATGAGATCACATTGTGAATTTGTTCATCTCCACTTAATAATTGTTGAACTCTGTGGCCAATTTCAACTGAATTGTATGTATAAATATATACACACACGTGCGTACATATGTATATGTATGAAGAGATATATATTACAAAATTCACAAAAATAGGTACCTAATTAGACACAACCGGATTTATGCTATCACTGAATCTGCTTCTGAGTGGCAGAAAGACCAGGTTAGACTGTGCTCAGCTGGACCTGTCAGCCAGCAGGTGGATAGATCCACCGTGGGGAGATAGCTAGGGGACATGAGAGAGAACTTGAAGTATGGTGAGATGGTTTAGTGACACTACGGTGGGCAGCCGAAATATAAAAATAGAGTAAAAGGATAAGGGTGGCTTGGGGGAAACAGTGGAAACCTGGAGAAGACTTGGGAGAACAGTGGAGAGCTATAGGGGATTGTAGATGGATAGGAGGTGATGCCAGGTGGCGGTAGGGAGGTAGAGATATGCAAGATACACATCTGTAAGAAACCAGGCTTCATTTGTTCTGCTGCTCAAATGACCGCTTGCTCAGTAATGTATTTTGTGTCAGCTAAGGAAATGCTGTAATTATCCTGGCTGCCTAGGTCTTCTAGGTGGAGAATTAAGGCGAATTGATGGTAACCTGCACACTGGCTTTGGGTCAGGAGATACAAGTGAGAGGTCATATTCCAGCGGAAAATCAGGTGTTGACTGCAGGAATAATGGGTGAGGATACTGTGAGGAAAAGGGCCATTGGAGGAACACAAATGCAGATCCCTCTTGAGTTTTGCAGATGAGAAGAGTGATCTAGATCTAATCTTCCTAAATGCAGAGTTTAATTTTAGAAACTTGCTCAGAATGAGGGAACAGTAAGACTGTTTGCAAAGGATCAGCTGAATACTGCACCATAAGGAACATGACTATCATTAAGTAAATCCTTCTTTCCAAAAGAAGGAAAGACAAATTTAGAGCTCTGTCCTAGTGAAGGAATCCAAACTCTGAAGGTAATTATTTAACTACAGAAAGCGACAAGACTAGGGCTCATCTAATAATGTTTTTTTTTTAAAATGGGAATAATCCTTTGTAAGAAAAGAAAGAATTCCTCATAGGAGAAGGAAAGTGCAGGCACTAGGTGAGCTCTCCTACAGCTAAATGACACCATACTCTCACAGTTTTAGTCCACGATCTCCTCCTTTTCCTTTAAAAAACAAAAAAATGAAACACCCCCCACCCCCACCCCCACCCCCCCAAAAAAAGGAAAAAAACAACCACCAGTCAGCAAAAAGTTCTGTCAAAGCTGAGGAAGTGTTTAAACTCTGATTAATTAAAATAAAGCCAACCTGGATTGAGGTGACACGTACCCATCTGAAATGGTGACTGAAGGTGCAAACTGCAACCAAATCATATTGTACTGGGCCATCAATCTTTGAAAGTTGTGCAGGTAACTGATGTCAAAACCAACTGTTAGCACAGCATCTGAGCTAATGGGTCCGTAACTCAATTTTCAGTAATATGTTAGCAATTCAAGTAATAAAATATTAAGAAAGTAATGGCTGAACGCACTTGGGGGACAGAAGGGAAAGGCCCACAGATCTAGAAAAGTCATTTTCAGAAAAGGAAGACAAATGATAAGAAGGGGCAATGAATGGTAACCTAGAGATGCCTCTGAAAACATAACAGGAGAGACACTAACATCTCTCATGCAAGTGCTCTTCTAGATGTAAACTAAATTATGATGTTCTTGCACTCAAATACCACAGTTCCAAGCACAGACAGCAAGTTAAATTAGGCAAATACATCTTTCAGCTTTGACAGTTAAAAGTTTTTGAATAGTATCAGTAGAGTTTGTCTCTAGTGTGCCCAGTTCTCAAAAGTTTTATGCTGCTCCTCTCAAGTTCATTTGGAGTGGTGGCAGCTCAGTTTCATCAAAATCTACAGATGAGGCCCATCCTGTTGCATTTTCTTTATGTAAAGCCATTGCGAGATCAAGCAGTACTGCAAAGCAACTTCAAGCAGTGTGAACACACGCTGCCCTAAGTACGCAAAAGCAGGAGATCCTTCCTTCCTCCCTCAAGGAAGAAACCAGAAAAATGATAGTTTAAGCAAAGGAGCAAAAGAAGGAGCATAAAGTTGTCGCGCTCAAGAGTACTACAATAAAGCTGTCACAGGTCAGTCTGCTTCAGGATGCAAGTACATCAAACACGGACTGGTAGCAGGCAACTGTATCTTTCCTGGAAAAGCCATATACTATCTTCAACCTCACACATCTGGTTGCATCAGAAATGTCAACGTCTGGAAGCACCACTGCCAAGAACATGAAATCACGATGGCTGCCTAGGCAACACTGGTAAACGAATACATATTAATTTACCACATCCTACTGACTGAGGCTAGGAAAATAACTTTAGAAACACCTCTATTGTTATGTGCAAGTATGTACCTTATTCCATTGCCCTGCCTCCTGCTGTTGCACACTGATACAGAAGACAAAAGAACTATACCAATACAAAGTAGGACGGTAGTCTAGGACAATTTAATTCAGTGTTTTCTACTTACAACGATCTCAAAATACAGAGGCATATTTCAAAGAAGAAAATGGAAAGCAGTATCCACCTCTGCTGGAGCTCAGAAGCGGAACTGGGTGAACTGCAATTAATGGGTAAAGGCCTCAAGTGAGAAAAAAAAAAAGGTTAGGGTAAAGTGAAGGAAAGCAGTTAGAGAGAAGCAAAGGCGAAAGAACAGCAAGCAAAAGTTAGAAGAGCTAACAAGGGTTCGAAGAGCAAAGCAAAGAATGTCAGAGAAGCAACTGAAAGTATTCCAGGGGGGGAAAGTTCCAAACAGTAATGCAAGAAAAAAAAAACCCGAACATATCACTACTTTGGAAACTATGCAAATGTGTAACACAGTACTCACTGCATCTCGCCTAGCATATTCATCCTCTCCACGGTACTGGGGCCACCCTGGCCCCCCCGGCTGGCCATGCCCTGCTCTGCCTGAGGGGATCTCCACTTGTTGACCTCCGATCCTGCTAGCAATTCCCACCTGAGTGAGGTGCTGTATCTGAGAACCTTAAAAGCAAATATTGTTTTTTCATCTTTATAACACAGTCAAGTTTGTAGGGCAGACAAATGACAACATAAAACTTTGTTGGAAGCAGGAGACAAGAAGAAAGTGGAGCTCTGTTTCTGTGCAATTAAAACAAAAAATCAGCAGAAAGAAGGCTGTCAGTGTAGAATAAAGAAGGAAAAGTTATGTGCATTTTGCGCAGTTCATTTGAGTGTGATGCTTTTCATTGCCACTGCACTGAAAAAAGAGGTTGAGATACATGCATCTCAGACATGGACTACACTTCATTCAAAAAATATGCCAGCCTTTTCCAAACTGTTTACTGAAAGCCCTGGCAACGGTTTCATGTAAATTACTTAGCAGCAAAGAGAAGACATTTGCTCCTGTGGTACACCTTATTTGCATCACACTGGCAAGACCCTAACTCTCCAGACTGCTTTCTATTCCGTCTCTCAGAAGAACAAAATACATGACTACATAAGAGTATGGTTCTTTCAGCTTTGCTTTGTGGTTAAATATTAAACGATGCTGTCGTTGACTAACAAGAAGGTCAGAACACACTGTATCTCCTTTCAGCCTGAAAGCTAACCTCCTCCTTTCTGCCCTCCATTCCCTCCCCTCCCGTTGCTTTCAAACACATGCAAGGATAGCCACCACCATTAATTGCAAGAGACATGTAACAACATGCCAGCTTTCCTTTTTTCTGAATTTCCTCCCGCAGGGAAACAAAATTTATTTTATTATTATATTTTATTATTCATTAGAAATGAAACACATTTAATAAACCCACAGATACATAAGAGAAAACTGTGTCTCTCTGTGTATGTGTATGTACAAAAAGGGAGGAAACGACAAAAACAACAGTATGATTTACATGATGGACAGTTAGGTCACTTTCGTATTTTCCTCTCAAAAAACCCCCAGTATTTGAGAAGTATGATGTTTGCATATAATTATGCTGAAGGACAGGAACTAATCATATGAATTGCCTCCAAACTTTAAAGCAGAATATACATAAGCATTTAGAGAATACTGTGAATCAGACAATAAAATAATCATTAAACTGTAACAGTCACTACACATCCCTGTCATTCTCATTCATTTAACATTTACAAGGAGAGGATAGCAGCTATCAAAACTAGGACTCTGACATGAGTATATGATCATATTTCCAGTCTTTTTCAACTCCCCAGGAAGAAAACATTTCTCTGGGAGAAAATTAACTGTGGTGTTTGCGTAAGAATAGAATACTTTATTCTCAGAATCGGTGTTTGCTGCTTAATTGCCATGTGATGTTAGAATCTTATTCATGATAGCATTGATGAGTGCTACAGAAATTATCTCACAACCAAATCAGGGAAGATGATTTCATATGGGAGAACAGCAATAGATAGTATCATCAGAAGCTAAAAGATCCTGCTTTTATGCATACGTTTCTAGGAAGAGAAATAAAGATGCAGAAAAGTATTTAAAAAATTGTTATTTAGCAAGCTGATTTGGGATGTGACAGTTAGCTCATTTAGCACAAAAGAGATAGTGGAAAGTTAGCATATACCGTATGCTCTAAAACAATTAAGTAGTTTTTCATTTTTAGAGAATGGGTTTTTTTGAAAATACGCTGTGTGATAACCAATGCTTGTAAGATACTAAAAAGGTGGCAAAGCACTGCCTTTTTCTGCACGGTCCTATGGATGTAAAGTTAACCTCACTTTGCGATATCACTTTTTTTTTTGGCAGTGAAGACAAGGACCACATTTCAAGTGTAGTAGCTGAAGGAGAATGACGTCTCAATGGTGACCTCAGTGTAAGAGTAGATGTGGAAAAGGATCAGTTATTTTAGTGCATATTCAACTTAAGTGAAGTGTACCTGCAGTGCTTCCAACTGGTCGTGGCCGTGCCACTGATGGCATTTCCTCTGAGTATATCCCTCTGGAGGAATACTGAACCTCAGGTGGCTGCTGGTCTGGGTGCATTAACTCTGCAGGTTGAAGAAAACCTGGCCCAAAGTTCTGCCTGTGGAAAAGTAAGGACTCAAGATTACAATAAGTGAATTGCCTAATTAGAAGCAGTAATGCAGGTGTACCTCATACAACAACTCTTTATGATGCCTTTTAATGTACATTTCAACCTTAAATGTTAAAGAAAATAATGACATCAGAGGAATATATTCCTCCTTCATGACCTGCACTGCATAGGAACGGGAGTTAGAAACTCTAACAAAATTTCACACAAGTGTTTTTCACATGTTGCAGTCTCCCAACGCAGTGAAAAAAGTCCACAAATCTTGTTTTCCCCTTGGGCAATAAAGCATCTTCAATGGAAAAAAAAAAAAAAGAAAAATAAGACTTCAGTAGTGACATAGCTGCTTACCTTAGCAACAAATCTGACTCTTACTCAAGAGTTTCTGGGCACAGAGTTTTGGTCTAAATCAAACCATACAAACTGCATTACATGTGTATTTCATGAACAATTATTACTTCATCAAGCATTCTGATCTTTTTTTCAGGACATTTTCAAAACTTTGCTCTTTAAGATTCAACAAACTCAAAGCTGTCATTAAGCACGTATGAAGAGATGTAATGTATACTAAAATTAATGCTTCCTATAATTCAGGCTGGTGCTGGTAGTCGTTGTTACATATTTACTGAAAAGAGTTAACAACAGAAACCGTCATCAATCTAACTTCATGGAGTTCATGGGAGTTGTAAAAGAAACCCTATAATTCATAATTCAGGAGCAGAGAAGGCGATGGAAATGCTGCTTTTCCTATGCTTCCTATTAACATATCTTAACCCTGGCATGGAAAGATTTTATTTTAAAAGACTGATGGCAGCTGAGTTTTCAAGGATTATTGATTCCTGTCAATATGGTGGAGGTGTGGATGCCCGAACTTCAGGTACTTAGGTTACTAGGCCAGTCTCTCTTAGACTCCAGGTATGATTAAAGAAGAGAGACACACTCCTCAAGAAGCATTCAAAGCAAAAGATTAGGTTCACTAAATCTTTTTCTGCAGGAGCCTCTCACTGGTGAGTATAAAGGAAGCAAAGTGAGACAAACGTCCTAAGTCAGGCACATGAAATTACACAAAGTGAGTTTTATATGCCTTTTACCACAATGGCATCTAAGCCCTTCTAGGTGATGGATTGCGACCCATCCCATTCTCGAGACCTCAGTTTTACACCCTTTTGTTTTACAGGAAAATCCCATGACTGCATCTAATTCAAACTTTCTTTGATTTGTGCTTTATTTGGAAAACTAACCACCTTTCTATGACAGCCAGATAGCAAAGAAAGCTGACATAATAATAAATAGCCTAATAAAGCCAAGTAAGAGCCCAAAAAAGCACAAAAAAGTAATTGTAAATTGAAGTACTAGCTACTTGGCATACAGTATTAAATGGAGGAGGTGTAAGGGGTTCAAGCTGCAACAACCCCGTTGTGGAAGCGCCAGAATTTCCCCAGCTCCCTTGCATACAATCCCACCTGTCCACTCTGCAGATCCAGAGGAAACCATTTCCAACCAGACTTACAAGCCAGTTAAAATACCTGAATGGGTAGGTAATATTTAACAATGTCACTTCTGTTATGTTAATCACTGTAACCAGTAAAGCATGTGATCACCTGGCCTTTTATGCCTGCAATGCTGAGCTGGAATCTTGTAGCGGATAAATTACTACAATTTTTTGATGTTGTCTAAAGAAAGTATTTCTCAACATTACTGCAAATGTATTATTTTTGTGCCAATTTTTCAGAAAGTATATCCTTTATTGCTGATGGGTTTGTACTTGAAAGGTGCACGTTTAATAACCCATCACTCTCTCTTCTCAATCTTCTTTAGATATATAGGTATCTAACAGATAGATAGAGCTACTCTTTTAAGTCAAAGATCAACAGAAGAGTATAGAAATGGGATACAGCTCTGAATCTACATCATACAAGCTTTCTAGTGCTCCTTCCTATTTCCAGGCTGAGACCCAGCCTTCAATTTATCTTTGCACATTCAAAAAAATCATTAATCTCCAGTTATTTAACTAAGTGGGGAAATACCGCCCCAAAAATCAATTTTACACCACTAATCCGTTATGGCTAAGTATCTCTATCTCTGCTGCATGATGCAATATTCATTTTCTGGTAAAAGTTGTTCATTGTGCCTTTATGTTTGCCTAGCTGTTATGTGACCTAGGTCTTTTACACTTAGTTTTTTTTTACCCGGGTTGGTTCCACCCCATTAAAGATGCTGACTGCATTTGTACAGAGAAGGGAACGGTACGGTCACCCAACTATTATTCCATGCATTGGATACTTAAGCCAATGGACTATGACATTGATACATGGCACTAATCATACTGACCTTAGGTTATTTTTCCTTCCTCTAATTGGTGCACTGTCTCTATCAATTTGTTTATCATTATCTTCTGAATTTGAGCATAACCCCCACTCCACAACCATGACAACTCTTTCCTTGTTTTCTATTGACCAAGCTGTAGGAAACCTTCTATTTTAATGAAAATTTAAAGGAATTCTTCCTGTTAAGGCCAACGACCTTGCAGATTGTCAACTTAATCTGCCAGCACTGGCAGAGCCAGCACTTGAACTATTAATAACAATGCCATTAATTTGTAACTTACAGAGTGTCTATGCCAAAGGTTGATAAACTTTTGAACAAAAAATACCATGCAAAGACACTATCTTGCTCAGGTTACAGCACTTTCTAACAGCACCCACTAACACGGGCTATGGCACTTTCATGATTAATTTATCACATCTTCCCTGAATGTGTAACACACCAACAAAGAGAAAATCCTCAATAACAAACAATTGGTTATGCTTTCTGTTGGCAGTCTCAAAGCTTATAATCTTCAAGGTAACCTAAATTACAAAAAATACACTGCATGTCATACTGTGTGCCATTTCATGTATGCTCCACGCACACTGAAACTGTCACCTTCAGCCAAGACCAAGTAAGAAAATGTGCTTAGAGACTCCTCCTTTTCTAGTTGGTCCTTTCAAAATGAGGTTGCAGAACAATGGATAAACGAAAGTTCTTCACATCCATTTTACCATCAAGTTTCCAAGGCAGTGAAGACTTTAGGTGAAATCTAATGAATTACACTGATACCAGTGGGATTTCATCTCATATGGTGAGCTGTAAGAAGGTAATGAGACAGCAGCATGAGGCTACCTTTTTACCACCTTGGCTGCAGCAGCTTGGAGAGGGTGAGACAAGTCTGACCACAGTGGGTACTATGACTCAAGAGTCCAACTTCACGTGTAGTTAAAACACAGACACCAAACATGGAATTAACAGTCACCTGGACAACTGTCGTCTTCTCTTTACATGATTCTCCCATAGCAAGGCCAGGAAAAGATGGAAAATTTGTTCTTCCCCCCTGATTTTATAGTAATAGGCCTGCAAGGCAGGCTTTCTCTGTGAGGGTCACCATGCTCTGTAATTTGTTCTCAACTTGGTTAAAAATAGAATAAATCTGTTAGTCATCTGCAAACTTTTGCAAGTGAGTGTTGCCCTGGAGCTACAGAAACAAGATGAAAGCTGCAGTATTGGGAGAATTACATGCATCTGAGTAACTGTTTCAGGCTCTCTAAAAGCTGAAACTCAGTGGTTTACTCAGCATTTGGAAGGACATCTCTATAGCCAAGGGGCCAGAAACACATTTCTTTTAAATGGAGGCTTGGATTCCATACAGCATGCATATGTCATTCATGCTACATAAATAAATTACGCAGGCTGGATCCGGACTCCTGTTACTTCTCATTTATACAGTACTTTGCATAATAATATACCAGTGCCAGTAAGAACTCTGGAGGAATTGCAAGGAAAATAATAAATGATAATTCGGTGAAAGGCTACCTTGGTAGGAGACCTGGTGCTGTTGGTGGAGTCATTCCAAATTCCACGTATCTCTGTCAGAAGAATGAAAAAAACCAAATTAAAATCAAAATGCATACCCTGGGAAGTCCACCGTCAGCCTTTTAAGTGATGAATGGCAGAGATCACTAGGCCTGTATGTGTGACTTGATTGCGACCATAAGAGCTTAGTTTTACAAACCCAGCAGCACAAGAAGATCTGGGAATCACTGCTACAGTGGGCTAGCAGTCTCTCCTGCCTGATCAGAGTCTTAACTTAACCTTTCAAAAATACTTTCTCTCACTTGCAGAAGATCAAGGGTTGCTCCAATGTCTACTTAGCTTAAACTTTCAGCAAACCAAGCTTTGCATTTGGAAATCTCTTTATACCTCAACCGGCGAGACCACGGGGCTCAGACTCAACGGTCCAATGGCATTATGAAAGTTCTACTGAATTGTTGTGGAACTCGAGATGACCTAAAAGATTATCCATGTGTCTCAGTGCTCCATAAAATGCAAAAAATGATACACAGAAATACTGCTTCCGTATCCCTCACCTCCTGAAAGCATTTGGATGCCCTGCTGAAAAATATGACCTAAGCCCATTTTTCATTGTCAAAATATGAACTAGCACATTTATTTTTTAAAAAATGAAGTTTTACCCTTGGACATAACAAGACTGATGTGTGAAAGACCATAACTGAGAAGAACAGAAAAGTCATCCTAAAGGAGCAGAACTCCTATCTTCTCTTGTGGTTGGGATGGGAAAGGGGAAAAGAATCCGAACGGCTTAAAAAGCAAGTTCACCATTTTGTGACTGTCATTTCTGAATTCTCCTGGTTCCAGAAACTGTTCCACATTTGTGATAAGTCCTGACAGCACGGGCACAGTAACAGTGACCATGGCTTAACTGGTGCTACCTACCTGCCCAGAAAAGCCTTTTAAATTGCATCACTCACATTAAATGGGTTGCTTACTGCCTGAGTTGGACCATAAGGTGTTCCCCACTGGGTGCATGTGGTTCCCCTCCCTGCTCGAGCAGGAGTGTTGTTTACCGGCTGTCCTGCAGAGACCCCAGGTGGTGTGACGGCCGTGGAATTGGCTGCTTGGCTGCTGGGAGCTACCAGCGCAAAAGCATCATCCAGCAGCGAGTGCATGGTTTGCCGAGCCTCTTCAATGGATGGCTGTGGTGGGACGTACTGGGAGACTGGGTGGGAAGGCAAGCCAGGGAACTTCCCCAGATCAGCTGAAGATGTTGTCTGAGGTTCAGGAGGCAAGTCTGGATCAGACTGGAGGAAACGGAAAGAAGGTGAAGGACAGCCAGAGAGAAGATCTAACCAGCCAGTTTCCAAGCCCCTGTGGGCCTTAAGTCTGAGCAACATTTTCTTTGCCAGAACCACAATGAGATAAATGGCAGAAGTGCTGGTGCTGGACAAAACCTGCCCCTTACCCTCCCCACTTCTGCATGCATGTATGCATGCACATACATGACACCAGCCGTTCAAATACTTCATTCAGTGTGATCTGAAATGCTCTGATCTCAGGTAAGGCAGAGGAGCTTTGTGCAGGAGTTACTCAACTATAACAGAAATCTCGCAGTTTGCAAGTGTGTAAAGAAGTCATGCAGAGAGTGTTTACTCCACCCAGAAAAAGACAATCAGCTCTGTCTACATCTCTGACTTCTCTGCAGCTTTTGCAGTTGCAAGAAATTAATTTAGTCTTTAGCTTAAAACTGACCACATCAGCAGTAGTATTAAACAATTATTACCTCCTAGAAAAACACACAAAGGGAGCTGTTAAGCAACTAAGTGGTTAGCTGCATGGAACTTGAACTTGGGTGCATCGCCTGAATAAGATTCATGTAAGTGCTTCATAGCAGCAATACCTGAGGCATGCATCGCAATTATTACCTAGGATCTTACCGCATGGGCTTATTGTTCATCAGTAACAGGAAATTAAACAAACTTTGCAGCAGCAGACTTATTATGAAAGCTCATTCTTACCACTGCATGCAGACTGCAAAATCAGTCATCAAGATGCGAAAGCCTCTACTTCACCAGGAACTTAGCATTCTGAGTACTGTCTCGCTACAGATGCCAAAGGGGCTGAGCTTGTTGTGTGACATGTCTTAATAAAACAGCTTCAGATGATAATTTATTCTGCTGCAGCATGACATTAAAATCATCACACTCTTGTTTGAAGGCAGAGGGAAACTGCAGAAATCGACATTGTAGTCACTTGACTGCAAACGCAGCTAATGGTGAAATTCCTAAAATTATTAAACCATCTTCCAAGAAGAAAACTGTCCAGGGGTTTCCAATATTAGCATTAGGCTTTGTAAAGACTGCTTAGAAGTGGTTAAAGTTGCCTGAATACAGTTTGTGACATGGATATGATTGAACAGAAGCATTCTCCAGTGTCTTTGCCTTTTTTAGATAGGAAACAAAATTAATTTTCAAGACATTGTAGTACAATTGTTTCAAGTTACTGCAGTACAAAGATGTGTTTCTCTTTCATTAATAATTAATTCCCACATTTTAAAGATGAGAAAATTTCTCATGAAAGGAACTGAATCTTCCACTCTGAGAGCAAAGGATGAAATTTTCTGTAACATATGAATATATAACATCCAGCAAATTGGACTAGAGTGAAACTACGTTCAACATATTGTGGAACATGCCAAGCACACTTTCATGTGCATAATACAGTGGCATTAATGAAAACAAGGTTTTGGTTCTTGGCCTCTTTATTATCAAAGAATACTTGGCAGAATTTTACTGCTTAATACTGACAGACTGCCAATGAAATCCTTGTTTCACTTTGATTTACATGCTAACTACATGTGACTGAAATTAGCTATTACACACCATAGTTAGAAGGCCAAAAACCTCCCCATGTCACAACTGTCATCACAATTATCAGAGCACTCCTGTCATTCAAGAGACATACATACAATATATGCAGAGTTATTGACTCCTGGAGGCCTTTTGTATGTCCCATCACTGTCAGTTGTGATTAACCTGTCCTTTTCCGCATCGATAGGACTACCATTTATTTGATGTCGCCGGCGCTGCTTGGGAGAACGTTTTGCACGAGAACTTAACAGGAAGAAAACAAAAAGCAGAGAGAGAGAAAAACCAAACAAGACAAAGATAATCACATTTCTTTTTACAACTTTTCTTCTCTTCCCACTCAAGGTTGAACTCCTCTGCCCATTCCCTCCAAGTCATCCTTGCCTCAGCCCTGTTGCTCTTCCCTTTCCCAGTTTCTCACGCCAGTCCCATTAGTTAGCCTTGAATCTCTCTCCTCAAGCTTCTCCTAACACCACTCTCACTGACAGCTCTCCAAATTGTCCCCTTCCTCCCTCAAACTCTCTCCAGTGTCACTTCCCTTCCACATTCATCTTTCAAAGCTGTCTGTGCTACAGCCGCTGCCAGTACCTCTCCAGACCTGCCAGACCAATGTCTGACACATTTGCAGCAGCAGAACAGATCACACTGCCAACAAGGCTTTACACAAGGCATGTTGGGTTTAACCCTACCAGGCAAACCAGCTGAGGAACCCATGTAGCTGGGGAAAAGCTACTTGCTATCAGTGCAGAAGCAGTCACAGGGTACCAGTGCTTCAGGAACAAAGCGTCAGTATTCATAAGCCCTAAACAGAGCCCAGGAAAGACTTTCTCTGGAAACAGAACGCCAGGAAGGCATGATGCCTCGTTACCTGGAGGGACTATGTAAAAGGTTATCTCGTTGATTTGTGAATTTGCCTTTAAAATTCAGAATCTTCATGCTTTGGAAGTTGTTCAAGTTGTTTCCTTATTTTGCATCTTTTCCCCCTTTATAAAAATATTATTTCTTGCAGTTTATATTTTCCATGTTTCTTTTTTTAGTGCTTATATTACAATTTTGATCCTTTTACACCTCATAAGATTTATTCAAACAAATGGCAGAGGAAATTGTTTTAAGACAGTTTTCATACATTTGGGTTTATTTATCGAGAATTCACCCCTGAGAACCTGTAAAAGAATAATCTGAAAACAAAACATACTGGCATATACTGAAATAAATAAAAATGTTTACAACAACCAAACATTTGCACCTAGATAACTCAAATTCAACTAGGGATCAAAATTATTTTAAACTCTAAAAATTCAGAAGTACAGATTTGACATAGTTTGGACGCTGAATTTAAAGAAAAATTGTTCTTTCCCATCTTTGAAATCCTACCTCTTCCTGGGCTCTATGAAGACAGTAGGAACACTGCCTCCAGGGTCCAAGATCTTGTCAATCTGCATCTGTGCCTTGCGATATATTCTGTGCTGTTCTTTGGAGTCAACCACCACCACATCATCCACTACTGGAAATTCATAGTGCCCTTTGCGCTTGGCGCGAAGACGAATCTTATTGCGGTGATGCTCAATCTCAGATTTATGCCTCAGGGCTGTTTGTATCTTAAAGAAGAAGGGAAAAAATCAACTGCATTTTCATTTGTAGCTCTTGCAAACAGAACTTTTTGCTACTTTTCCATAAACCTCTCCTCCTCTCTTCCCTGCCTGCCCCTCCCTCCCCCAAATCTCTGAGGGATTAAAATAAGTCACACAATTTGTAAACACACTTACTTTCTTAGACATTTTGCAGTATCCCCATTGCCTCCGCAGGTAGATGTACTATTATACACAATACGATTGCCAGCAGAGCAGGTGCAATTAGAAAGAGGTGGCAGTTTGTTAACAAAAGACAGGAAGAACACAAAGAACTCCTGCTGCCTGCCAGAAGTGACACTGCTCTGAAAAAATAAGACTAACCAGTACAGGCTATATTTACCTTTGCTTGTCAAACAGAGATACATTTGATCAATAGTGTTGAAGTCTGTCACCCATTCCCTTTAACGACCTTCATCACATAAGAAGCAAGAACTTAAAGAGCTAATTGAGCTCATAACTCAGTGCCTCCACTGAGCACTAGAGGCTGCCATAAGCTATGCAGAAACGTAGCAGCAATACAAGGGCCCAGGTCCCTAGATGAACATGACGTTATCAGCTCTACGTCTTCTTGCAGGCTGAATTTTCATGCTTCTCTCCCACCTTTTTTTCAAATTCCCTGGAGTGCATCTCATCATCTGGGGAAAGGTTCGTAACACCACACTTTTAAGTCCTGGCCCAACACTCACTGAAATAATTCTTATCAATGGAAAACAGCTGGGCATCAGATCAGGTAGCAACAACTGCTCTGCCTGTGCTGGACTAGTTCTGGAACACATCTGCAGCAGCGAATTAAAAACCAAATAAAAATTGATTTTTGTGTATTCTCTCGTGAAAAGCCCCCAAAAACATAAAAGGGACACAAGCCAGACTTACTCTTTACATTTATAGTTAGAATTATATGTCTTCTGCCCATATAATCAGATTTCTGCTTTGTGGCCCCTCTTGCCTATGTATACTAGATATATGTATTTACCTCTCTTCCGTAAGATACTCAGAAACACAGTATCTTAACACAGTTAAGTTAAAGGTTTCAGTAATCCTCCACTCTGAATTATGAGAAGATGCCATCTTATACCCAGTACAAAACCAGGATGCAGGTACATGGTACTGTCAGGCAGCATATGATGTGGTTTTACAGCGCATTACCTTCTCTCCTAATGCCCCAGGCATGCTCATATTCTGCTTACAGTAACGTGAGCCTCACAGAAAGCAAGAAGTTTCTGTATGTTTACTGTCAGATAAACACTTCAGAAGTTGGAAGCAATGAATGTGCTGCAAATTCACACCCCAGAATGTCTTGAGATAACTTGTTTGTATAGCCCACATCCTGAGTTGCTGAAAAGTCAAAAGAATGGTGTAGAACGAAAACCAAAGTGGGCCAGACTTTCCAATTCTCACACATTAATTAACACAACTCTTGTAAGTCATGTCCTGCTTACTAGCAAAAGGACGGTAACACAAGGTATCCTGACCATCAAATTTGCTCCTTTCTCAGTGTTTCAGTTTTGGTTTAGGTATCTCTTAAAATCAGGTCAGATTACCTCTCTGGACAGAAACAGGATTATTCCTGTAACTTGTCAAAATTCAACTCCTCAGGAACTAACAGGGAACTCCTGATAACAAGAAACGGGATACTTTTCACTTTCCTCTTGGCTGGGCATACAGTCCTCCACAAACATTCAAAGCACTTTAAAAATACCTCTTTATTAATTTTGTTGGTCTCTGCTACTCGATCAGAAAGCACTGAGTTCTGAACTGGAGGTGCTGCCATCGGTTGCATAGCAATCAGCTGGATCTTGCTTGGGACCCGTCTACTGGCATCTGAGGAACGCGACATCCTATCCACGTGTTCGAAAATAGAGGCTGAGGAGTGCTGCTCGTTTCCACTGCTGGTCTGAGGAGGTCCTAAATCACCAGAACAAATGCAGAGTAAAGTAGTGCTGCTAGGGTTATCTCAGTCAAATGTTAAGCTCTACAGATGCTATGCTACAAGACTATGCCATGTTTTCCATCTGTGTTTAATTTGCCCTGTAGGCCTTCCAGCTGATTCACATTTAGTGTACAACAAGTTTACCCAGTGGTTTGCAAATTATAAACATTTTTCCATTATATTTCCAGAAGGTGAGCTGTCATTCTTTATTTCTGTAAATCAAGCTCTTGGCATTTGCAAACCCCCAAAATCTCAATCTACTTTACTCCATAAAAAGCTGTTCAAGTACATACTGCTAATGTTTCCTCTTATCAGTACTTAAGGAGATGCAAATTCCTCAAATGGAGGTTCAAAGAGCAATAAAAGATGTCTCACTGCAAAATGCAGTTCTTAAGTGACAGAAGAAGTGATATATGAACTAAACAAAAAGCCTCTTAGAAATCCACAGAAAACACGAAGAATTTTACAGACATTTTACTAATGCTTTTAAAGTGCTGTTCTCTTCTCCGTGACCCGATAAACAGTTCGCATAGTGATAAGCAAGATGCACAAATATTGCCACGTTGTAATTTGTTGAAGAGGTTAAATCAACTCAAATACGATCAGCAAAAGACATTATGGAAACCAATACACATGAAGGTTGCAGCCCTGGTCTTGCCAACAGTTAATCAGTTCAACAGAAATAGTTCATCTCCCTCAAAGACTTGAAATCTGTAGGATCACCCCAGTGGTTTGCAGTTAAGCACGTATTTAATTATTTTTTTGATGGAGCTAGGCCTACAATAGGAACTGTTATGTGGATTAGGCTTGCAAAAACTACCTTAGACTTGCAAAATAATCTTTTGTCTTGTCCACACAGTAACACCACAAATTCTCAAACTGCTTTTCACCATGAAATATAAGCGGTAAGAGATTAAGATTTGTGACTCTTCTTATGGAGGAACACAACAGAGTAGAGGGACATAGTCCCACATCCTTGCACAGACTTCTAATAATGGGCTGTGGTTCTCAGATTCAAATCAGAAGGAGAATCTGATTTGATTCTGATACAGAATCAATTGTTGATCAATCTGATCCAACTCCAACAGACAGGAAGGAAAAGAAACCAGCCATTGCTCTGATCCATTTACGACACATGCTGGTAATGAAGTATAGGGTTCAGAAGAGGAGTGAATGCTATCTTCTGTAGAAGATCACAGTACATGACTTGCTCCTTTGCTTTCCTCTTCTAGCACAAAAAGGGAGCAGGTGAGGGAAGGAAGGGCACAGTTTATTATATTCACAGCACATTACTTTTGGGCTGGAAAGCAACGTGACCACAAGCTAAGCAAAATTCTTATTTTTCGTATTTCTCAAACTTGATCAATGCATTGTCAAATGTACACATTTATAAATAGTATGCATCGTTTATGTGACTTTCCTGTATAAGTGTCCTTAAAAAGAAGGTAAACAGTTCCAGTCAAGATCTCTGTGTCCCAAATGTTTTGCAAGACAGAGAGCCTAAATGAAACATATTCATCTCTCTTCTATAGCTATTTATACGATCTTTACCATTTGTCATCTTCACAGCCCCATCTTCATGCATTTGTTAGAAGCATGCAAGCATTGCCTCTCACAGAGAGGGGCACGAGATATATTAAGTAGCTAGTGTGAATCCCTCAGAGTGATCCTGTAGTGCAATGGAAACCTGAACTTCTGCATCCATCTTTCCTGTTTTCCCCATACAGTAGTCATTTTTTCCAACCTTTCTAGTCTAACAGCAGTTCTCAAAGCTCACTGACCTCCAACATAAAATTTTAAGGTTATTTTCATATTACTTGGTTAGCAAGGTCCAATATACTCAATTATGCTGAGAATCCACTCTGAATCTTTGCAATTTCATCCATAACCCTTCCTTTTGCACACATAAACAAGTGCTTGGCAGAGGCCTCTTAGCTGAAATGGTTCTTAAACTCATTTTGTAAAACTGTCCAAAAGTCCCACTGTCAAATTCTGGTAAGGCTCTACAGTAACATCATATGTTACCCTCTTTTGCAGAAAAGATGCACACACACACACACAAAAACCCTATTAGCTGCATTTGACCTTTAAATCCTCTCTGCGTGCATACACTGAATGTGTCTATAAATACAAACCAAGACGGAAGTATAGTAAAGTAGATAAGAAAGCCGGGAACTGCAGAGTGCTGTACACATAGAACAAAAGGAGAAATGGTTTCTAACTCAACACATGAATGAGCTCCTTTAGAAGTTTTGACAGAGTGAGTAAGAGTAGTTTCTCATTTCAAAGTTCTTGTATTACACCATTGTCCATGGTTAGAAAATCTTCCTTATAAAGCTATCAGATGACACTGTATGAATGAAATTTTGATCTCAGACTAGACAGCTGAAGCTAAAAACTAATGGAGAGGAATTAATACCCAAATACTGGACAGAACACGTTTAAACAACTAGTCCATATAGGTCACATGTCAGGATCAATGTTCATCACTGTTCCCTGGGCTGAAACTATTAATTGAACTGAAATATCAGGAAAACGAATTGCTCTGCAGGAAGCTATGATTTCCTATGAAAACCAATACAGTTGGAGATAGAGGAAGGCTATTGCTTCCTGCATCCTCTTGAAATAAAAACAAGAGACACAGCAACCAAGGTGCATTAAAGCCTAATCCAAAATCCAGTAAAGTCAATGTGAATCTTCCACTGATCTCCTGGTATTTGGATCATGCCACAGTATGCAGTTTCAGATAAATTTCACACGGTTTCTTCGTATCCCAGTAGGTTATGTCCACAGGATGCAGCTGACGACTCTCATTAGTTACTTGTACAAACCCAACAATGGAAAGCATCGTAGCCAGCCTTATATCCATCCTTCTCTACTATTGTAAGATGGAAACTGCTATCAGAGGACACACTCCTTAATTTATCACTAGATATGGTATGCATTATCAAAGACAGTGTCAGCTTTCTCCTGCCCCAACTTTGCTATGTCTCAGTCCTGACCTGAAAAACACTAGTTCATGACAAAATATTTGTGGTTCTTTGCAGGTAGCTTGCATTTGTCTCGGGCTTCCAGTAAAGACACTAACTCTAACAATATCTCTAACTTGTTTATACAAAGCTAGTTTCGGACCAACAGCTGCCTCAGTTTTGCTTCTTTCACAGTGATGTTTTCCTCAATAATTTGAAAGAATTGGGAGGAAATTAGAAAAACGTGCCTAATTTGGATGACTAATTTGTGTTACTGAGAATTTTTTATACTTCAACAGCTCAAAAGCAATTTTGTTTTTTCAGACTTAGAAGACAAATCCTTCCATCCTTAAGATATAACTGCAGCTACCCCAGCACCTCTATTCATATTTGTACTCAGCTACCAGCTCTGGTTACTTACCCACTCTGTTTGCTCCTGACAACATAAAGGAAAAAGAAGAGACAACACAGTAATTATTACAAATAATTCAGCTGGAATGGCAACTTGAAAAAACCACAGCAGTAAGATAATTCCATTTAGTTTTGAATGAAATGCATGAACTTGGATCAAACTGCCAGGCCTCAGCTGCACAAAAAGGGAGCTGAATCTGCCATTTAACGGACAGAAAGCTCTCTGCAGACAGTGCCTCCAATTTTGAATGCTAAAAATAGTCCCTATGATTACCAAACTGGAGGCACCAAATGCTGAAAAAATAGTATATTTGATCCAGTAAGGGCACGATAGGTAAAAAGGACACATTTTACACAATATCCTTGCTGCCTTTGCCAGGTAATTCAGATGCAGTAACACCGAACACTTCTACACCAAAAGGAAATGTTAAACCTTGCATAAAGTTTTAAGCCAGATGGAAAATGAAGAGACAAAAATGGAATTCCCAGGTAAGAAGAAATGGGAGAGCACTAAATCAGGGCAACAGAATTGAAGTCAGATAGGTTGGAGCAACTCACAAACCATCCTGAGATGAGCTCTGTCATAGCGTAATTTTTTCCCTATATATTTAGTTGGGCATGATTTCTGGTCCTTAGAGCAAACCTAAGGCACTGAAAACATATATAGCAGTACAGTATCTTATTTTTGTAAATTGCGTAAAGTACATACGGCATACACCGCCTGCTGAATTATTAGGAAGTATAACTTCCTAGTTACATTAGCAGATCCTGTGCTGTGTTTTCTTAAATGTTTGCTACAGAGGAAAGCCTGCTCCATCACCCTTACTCTTCCAGGAGTAGTTCACATTATGAACGTTTAAGAATCATACATTATTTAACTTGCTGTTTAGCCACCCAAGATCTAGAAGCTTATATAAATTATCTTACATATTCCTCAATCTCATTTCAACATAAGCAAAAACTGAAGATTGTCTGCTATGATCTGAATTTCACTGGCATTGCACTCCTCAGTAGTCATCTTTACATCTCAGCTGGTATTTCATGGACAACGTGGAAAAACATTCAATATACCAAAGAGACTGCTCACAATGTGGTCAATATTTTCTTCTTCTCAGTTTCTGCTGCCGTCAAGGCCATGTGTATTAAGAACAGATGGGGATATCACAAACTCCTTTAACAGATATTCAGTAGGAAGACCACTGTGATTTAAGGCAAAGATCTGGTAACTAAAACCTCAAGCAAGGAGCAAGCCATCTAAACTCAAAAACCTCTCAGAAAAAACACTTAGTGGTTATGTAGGCACAGCTATCCACACACTTTTAAACAGGAAAAGAATTTAAAAGAATCTTTTAATTAAAAAATGAACGTGGGTTTGCAGAGTTTAATCAACTTTTCAGTGAGGAAAAAAATATATCTTAGGGTGCCTCCAAGACAAATGGTGGCACTTTAACTGGAAGGAAGATGGTTCTTTACAAAAAAATTTCACTGTTATTAACTTATTAGCACTGGATTTTCATCTTTCTAAAGCACAATCATGAAGGCATTTTGATGTCTGAATTAGAACTTATTTGTAGAACTTTTACCTCTCTGATCTCTTTTTTTTAATCTCACTTTTTCGAAGTTACAGTTACAGACATATACCCATGCTGTATCAAGTCCTGCTGTGACCTCTGCTGCCCATGTAACTGTCTGCAAGATTGCTACCATGAGAGCCACAATTAGGCCTAAATGGAAATAGGCTTGCCGGGGGTGTGTGGGAGAGGAAAGTGCTAAGCCGCTAGTTTCAAAAGCTTGCTGGAATGAAAGGAACGTGTAGATCTTCAGTGTCAACAGAAGAAACGAAACCAAAAAGGAGAGGAAGAAAATTTTCTGCAACACAAACCAGTAAATTAACAGCCAAAGATAAGTTTACAAAAGTTACAGCACTAGAGTAACTCTTCAACCTGAGTAAAGCACTGCTAGTGCACACGAGAAAAAACAAAAAGTAACAAACCCTTCTTCACTGCTCTGCGTGGTTTGCCCTCATTTGCAACAGTTGATGGTCTTGCAGTTTCTTCTCCTGTCTCTCTCCCGCTGGATTGTTCACTTGCTGTGGAGTCAGCATCTGATGGCGAAACTCTGCCACAAACATTAAAAAACAAACAAACCAACATGCAACATAAGTTTGCAAAGGGGCACAGTTCTCACACGCAAAGAATCCTGTGCTAAAATATCTTGTGAAGACTGCTAATATTTTCCTCTGTTTATAAGTAAATTTATAATAAATTAGCATCGTTAGATATTCATCGCCATGATGTTACTGTTGTTGCGTGCGAAAACTGACTGCAACAGGATTCACATGTGACAAGATTATTAACTAATCTTTCCTTTAAAATACACTTCAAGAAAAAACTCTGCATTCATAAGTAGCAGTTTACTTTTCAGACAGAAAAGAATTATATTAGAAATTAGAAACCCATAAAGGTAATTTGTCTAATATTCAGACTTGCTGACTTGGTGTTCTCTTGCTAACACAAGTCCATGTGAATATTTTCCTGACTAGTTAAATGTAGGGCCATTCAAAAATGCTACTTTTATATATTTATCCCATGCAGTCATGAGATTCTTAAAAACATTTGTTACCTGCAAATTACAGTCTCAGTGTTCATAATTTTTGTGGGCGATTACAGAACAATATAAAGAAATACTGTGATTTTCCCCAAGAGAATACTTCAGCTGTAAAATTATTCAGATAGTATAAAAATAGCAAAAATATAGGGCATACACCACTGCCCAGCTGACACCAAAGCCTGTCTTTTCATATGGGATCAGCCTTTGTGGTAGTGTCTCTAGTGACCATTTTGTCTTGTGAACATTCATATTCTATTTCCTGCAGGCAGCTAATCACTGAAAGTGTGCACGTGTCTGTGCATTAACCTTCTTAAGTGGAAGATTTGCTTGGGCTAGATGGATATCTGAACTAGTTACTGAGGGTCTTGGCTAAACATCAACCTGCCTAGAGTACACAGACTAAGATAACTATACCCAGCCAGACAAGTTCATTGAAAGTTAAACCTACTCCTTGCAGCAGGCAATGCTCCGAATTCAACTCCCCTTTTTTCCTCCCTGAATAAGGCACTGTTAATTGAACTCTGTCTTTCATTCTTTTCTACAGGACTGTGATACTAGTAAGTCACATCCCAATTAAAAAAAAAAAAAAAGCATGGAAAAAAGGAGAAATGGTTCTCAATAAGCTTACAGATCTGCACCATTGCATCTTTTCCTCTTTTCTAAGGTGGAGAGGGTGGGCAGAGCTATTGTCTCCATCACCTTTGTTTTTTTAGAGTATAAGGACGGAGTTCTGTTTCCAGATCTGCTACTGACTTTCTGTTTCACCTTACTGTGCTTTTTATTCCTTCATACTCTTTCCTCAGCCTACCTAAGTTACCATTAAGTAAATTACAGGAACATAAAATAATGCTGAGTCAACATCAGTCATTCTTTGTAAGTGCTGAGGAATATGCAGTTGTATCCTCTCAAGCCAAAATAACAGGTCCAACTCCCAGCTGGAGCCTAGAGATGCTGTGCTTTCAGAACTCAGTTGTTTTTCTTGTTTGTTGTTTTTTACAGATACAGAACATGTACTTATATCACCACTATATTTCCTGGCATGGAACATACAGTCCTGAATTGCATTGTGATGAACTGAGTTCTGTATTTCCTCACAAAACAGAAAACAGTTAAAACCAACATAACACACTATGCTATCATTTCACATTTCAACTTCTGCCTCGGGGAATAAATGTTTTAAATCTCAAGCTGACATGGGCATGTCAGCATGTTAGGGAGATGATGGTAACATCCCCATAGTTAAGCCTAAAGGTAGATTTGCTCTTAAGGGAGGATGAGGGAGAGGAGGAAAATTCTCTTTTTGAAAACATTTTGAAGTGTTTGAATTTAGATGCTATTAAAAAAGGAAATATCTTTGTTCCAAATTTGATCAATGATTCATTATTGTCTTCAAGGGATGCATTAAAATGTTGGCTTCTGAAAATTTTCCCTGCTTCATTTTCTGAATTATTCTAGATGAAATACAGTAACAGCCTCAAGTTTAAATTTCTTTCTTATACTTATGTGCACGTGAATATAGATACCTTCCCCTCGCCCTAAGTATCATCTCCGTCTTAGGCCACTTTTAAAAAAAACACAGAAACACTTGTCCTTCTGATTTATATTAATTTGTTTTAATTTAAGCTACACCAAACTGAGTTAGCTAATTTTTCTGCCATTATTTTCCAGTTTTGCCCACCTTCCACTGTACCACTAGTAGTCTACTACTTGCAAGGCCTTAGGAAGTTAGGAAGACAGGCTTAGCATCTGGGAAAGTGAAAACTCAGCTGTACGAAGCCCATGTGGGGAAGATGAAGCAAGGATCTTAGGACAACTGGGGCTTTAGAGGAAGCACAGAAGGTTGAGCAGAGGAGCAAGCTGTGTCACAGAGACCTGCAGCTCAGGAAGAAGCACCGTTAGTTTCTTTCTAAGCTCATTCAACTCTGCCCTTGGTTGTTTTTTTTTTTCTCCCACTGTGCAATAGCACATAGGTAAGCACAGGGGATGCAGAGCTGGAGACAAAGGAGTGCAAAAATATGAGAGGGAGGGAGGGAGAGGAAGAACAATTACTGGAAAGTGGAACATAGAGGAGCTCCGCAGTGAGGAGCTGTTTGTGACTCATCATAGCACTCTTCTCCTCAGGGCTCCATTTTTTCCCTACCTATTACCGTCCCACTTATCCCTTTTTTTTTTTTTAATGCACAGAGCCTTCTTTATTGCATTTTCAGTGCCTATCCTACAAACACAATCCTTTCCAGCAAGACACATTCACATCATTTGATTATTGGAAAAGGTTAGGAAATTACCACTGAAGGTTGATGGACACTTCTCCACTTGCACAGCTGTAAATTATCACTCCTTTTCCTGACCAAAGCTGGTTTGCATGAAAGCAACCAAATAACCACAAATAAAAACACTCATGCATCTTCCCCGAATTTTGGAGATACTGCTTATTTCTGGAAATTCCAACTTATTGTGTATTGATCACTATTAATATTATTGAAACACACAGCTATTCGTCAATGGTTTTCATTTGGTTTTGACCACCCATTGCCTTAGTAGCTAGAGATCACTACAAAGAGAATGCATCAAAAAACATACACTTGGTGTTTCCACTAAACAAGCCAACCTAGTAGTGTCTTAAATACCCCCCTTAAATGGGTATTTTGCCTTTAAGAGAAAAATGAACCCTAAATTCTCACAACCTTGTACTAATGAGTAGCGAGGCATAACTCTGACAGCCCACTGAAAACGCAAGTCCCAGAGCTCTGGTACAGTTCTTTCCACCAAAATTGTCCTAAAAATACAGTAATCGCCAGCCATTAATAAACTGTCATCTACTACAATTTGTTTTATCTCTGTGAACTGACCTCCCTCTGTGTCGAACGGTCTTTGAAGGCTTTGAAGAAGTCTTGGATTTGGGGCTGGGCACATCTCCATTTTCAGATGGGGTAGTATCCTTAATAGGTCCTGGTAAAGGAGCTGGCTCATGGATAATCAGGACATCATCTTTGTTGTGCTGGCCCAGATGCTGCTTGGCAAAATCAAAGCCTTTCACACTGGGGGCTTGTAGCTGTGAGAGAAGAAGAAAGACAAAAAACAGGAACCATGAGTGACAATGAGTACAAAGGCTTTGGTTAAGATCTGCAAACAATGGCCACTAGGAGGATGGTCAGGCTATGGTAGTCTCAGGAATGAACACGAGCGCTGCAGGGAAAAGAAAAATAAAACCCCCACAAGTCTGTTCATCTTACTTCAGTATATGATACACAGTTTAAAACTCCAAATCAGCAAATCTAGTTAAAAAAATAGCCTTCTGTTGCTGCTACATCTTTTTCCAGCTATTTCTTCAGATTTATTCATTGTGTGAGGAGCTTTTTGTGTACTTGTGGGTGCAAGGCCGTAGACACCTGTGTACGGACTGAAATGGTTACCACTGCCAGGTCATCTATCAATTTCTTTCAGTCAAAATGAGTGAAACGAGTTTAAATAATTTCAATAATGTCACCGCTGATCTTCCTCATTTGAGATCCCCAAGTCTGCAGAAGCCTGTGAGTGCTTGTACAAACACCTAGTTCATCTGATGAAAGATAAATATTCTGCAGATCTGAGTTATACAGCAGCCTGGCAATGACTTTTCAGCCAGCATGGATGCCTCCAGAAAAGAACAGAAAATCTAGCTCTTAGAAATTTCATACTGAATAGACAGAAAAATATATAAAAGGCTTTGGAATTTAGAGAAATTAGATACTTATCCTAGAGAGATCTTATTAAGGGATTATGGATTCAATGGGCACCTCGCTTGAGAAAGATAGAACTGGGCCTTTCATTTTCAAAACTGTATTTATAAATGTCAATGACTTGATTCAGACTTAATTTAATCAAGCCTCCAAGTTTCAAGCTCTCCTGCTGATTTTTTGGGGCTTTGGAGTAATTAGAAATTCTGAAGAACTAATTAAGAAAAGTTTTTCTTCAAGTCCTGCTCAATTTTATGTAGTTTGGAAGTTGAAAGTAGAAAGAAATGTTGACAACTCCAGTTTTCAAAGTGCATGCACACATCCCCACTGCACAGCACACGTACAAAACCTTCTGTGTGTTCCTAGAGCTGATTTCCTGCAAAGTGAAGCATGTGTTGGAGTGTGTTTATGGGTGCGTCAGGTTCCAGATGTTTAAATGAACCCCCTTTCATAACGCTTGGCATGCCAACATAGCTAACTACAAACAGACTCGTCTGATGTCATGCCAAAGATAAGCTTGCCTAAGGAATATTCTGAAACAATCTCTTCAAAATATTTTCTCAGTAAGCAAACATTTTCCAAATGGTTCTTAGAAGGGATGTTGTAGTAGAGCAAACTGCCTATTTAGACCAGTAGATGGCAATAAAAGCTCTCCTGTAAAATCCAACAACTATCTGAATGGTTTCGGAGTTCGTTTCTCACAAAATGAGTAAGCTTATTATTTGAACAGATCTGGATGTCTTCCACTATACTCCATTTTTCTTGGACTTTACAACAGTCCCTTCAATTCAGCATTATGGGTGATTCAATTATTGAACTTACATAAATGACTGTAACCATTGATTCAAAAAGGCACTGTTGAGCTAGAACAAGGGAAGGTGTAACTGTTTCTCCATTTTTTGAGTCACAGCCACCTAGTGAACCCTTCCTGAAACTTCCTCCCTTCAGAGTTGAAACATTGTCTCCAGGATCTTGCTTGCTTTAAAAAAACACCCCCAACCTCCATGCTTCCCCCCCGCCCCAGTACTCCTGAGGACACCTTTTAGTTACCCCACCTCCACCTCTGATCTGTTTGTCCTTATGTCTATTCTCTTTGAAGATACCCCTGTGTGTGATACTCTTCCTTTGAACCCCTTCAGTGCTTTCCCTTCTTCCAACCCTTTCATTCTCCACCCTCATGCCTATACAGCCCTGCTGCTGATCCCTGATGATCACTTCCTCTACTTCATTATATTCCCCTCCTTTGCCTCCAGCCCCTTTGCTCCAAAGATGATGAGAGTCTTCACCATGCGCTGGGTGAAGGACGAAAAAAAATTTGGTGGTACTCTACCCTTTCCTAAGCACCCTTGACTTAACCTGCAAAATTACTACTCCTTTTTGAATAGTGTGATGGGTGGGGTGGGCAAGGACAATTAAAGAGACAAACATTCTAGTAATATTGGAATTACTAGTATGGTTTTATTAAGATTGCTGCATGTCTGAAGCATGCATTTCAACGTACCTTAGAGTTAACTCTAGCATGCTGGGTTTGTAAACCCTCTGGGGAGTAAAGCAACATGCAAAAATATAAATTTTTAATCTTTTAACTTTGAATAGTCTTATTCCTAGCTGCAGTCTAACATAACCTTTTATCTAAGCACAGTTACGGAAACAGATATATTTACGTGTACATGTATGTACACCATAGCACACCTATGCACAAATGTTTATCTGCAGACAGACCACAGAGAAGCTGAATTAAAAGACTTTAGTATTGCAAAAACAAACACTCACACTATAAGAAATGGCATAGTTAAGATTGTCTGAACAATCACAACTGGATCCTCTCATGCATAGGCATTGCAATAGAGTCTTGAGTTACAAAATCATAAATTAGTTTCTTCCACAGGATCCCTCTTGCTCTCTCCCACCCTGCTGGATCCTTGGCACAGGCCGGGCCTTCTGCTATTAGTCAAAGTTGCGTAGAATATAAGAATGTTATTTGTAGAACCAGGATATCCATCCCATCTATTTTCCTACAGTTGCAGCCAGTTAAACTGCTTATCTGGTCTTACTCTTCCTTGCCAGGCAGAACCAGCTTCTCCATCCTGCCCTCTTGCCCCTCTCTCCCTCTGCCTGCCAGTTTACATTATCCAAGAACCTGAGGCTCCTTATTCCTTTACCTGGCCTTGTAACAACCTCTGTGTACAGCAACAGAGAAAAAACCCTCTCAGCTTTTAAGGTACAGCTCTACAGAGCTTATATCCGTGGAACAGGTGTAATCCTATGAGAATTCACCTGGTAAACCTCTAACAAGTCTCTGTCAATCATATGCAAACATTTTCCCAAAGGTTTAAAACTTAGTCAGAAACGGGCGATTCCCCACAGAATCAGCAAAAGCATTCCCCTCACACAAAACAACCTTCTGATCCTCTTCCCTTTCCTTCCCCACCCTGCACTCCCAAAGGCTGAGAATATGCACTAGAGCTTCTCCAAAACGATTTTTAAAATTTGGACAGAGCACTCTATTTTCTCTTAACCTTGATCTCTGAAAGAACAAGCTGCTCTTACCTTAAAAAAAAGATTCAGTATGAAACTGATACTTGAATGGAAAACTTCGGCCTGAATGATTAAAATCTTGCAGAGTTCTGTACAGCCAAACAATAACATTTCCAGATATCTCCTGCTAAAAAAAGCTTAAGTTGGCACTATCAGCTCCAGCCAATATATGAACAGTATGAGAGACTGTATGCATGTGTGTATATGCATGCTTGCGCATCTGAATGAAAAAACATGATAGAAAAATATAATGTGAAAATACATATATATAAAACATGATACCTGACTGAATATGAAAAGATGGTCCTCAATGAAAAAATTGATAAAACAACTTATTAAAAATAATACCCATTATTTGAGAAATAGAAATACTAATATAATTACTACTGCAGAAACAACACTGACAGAAACCCACTTCGTTTTCTTAAAAAAAAAAAAAAAAATCTACACTGCTGATACCTCACCTCTTAGACCATGGCAACTTTATGACTTTAACTGAGAACTGACACTAACCAAAAATCTACATTTTCAGTGAAAAGTGTCTGAAGGACACAAACACAGTTCTGCTTTCTGCAAGACTAGATGGTCAAATCACTGAGACTTAGTGGAACGAATGACTAGTGTTGTTCCAGACTGAAGAGGTTTCCTACATTTTCTTAAGAATTTCTGTGTGCTACCTGCCGCATTCTTCCTTTTCTTTATATCAAGTTATGTAATGTAACAGACTGGATGACCTCTGCTCATCTTCCGACAGGTAGTCAAATACCATGTGTGGATCTGTCATCTACTACTCATAAATTAACCACCACCAAGGAAAGAATACAATCTCTTTTTAAGAGCACATTTGTGCTGATACCGCTACCTGTTTAGGTGCAGAAACTGAGCCTCTTTTTATCAGCCTCAAATGCTTTTACTTAAGACTGCACAAAACCAGTTTTAGCAAAGATTTCTTGTTTTAAACGTAAGTTATTAGAGAAGGTTTTAATTTGTTTTATCTTTATATATTTGTGAAAGGGAAAAGACAAACTACTCTGAAGCTTACCACCAAAATGAACATGTCTAAACTACCGCATTCGTAAGGTGTTGTATTATTATACAAATATAGAACCTGCTGAAATCTAAGGGGAAGATGATTTCAGATTGGTAAGTCAATACAGTGCTTTAATTCTGTTGTTACAGAAAAAAAAGTATTTGAAGTTCAATTCGTAGAAAAATCAAATAATTTCTGCAGAAGCCTACAAAGTCTGTGCACCTTGGTCAAGACTTACTCCATGAAAGCAGCTAATAGTTTCAGTATTGTTCAAGTTACAGAAATACAACATGGTTGCCAATAGATTGTTTTGCTAGATGCAGACACACACCAGGAAAGTCAACAATCTGTTTTCTCAAGAAAGCAAATACTGCACATACAGGTCAGTGAATAATTTCAGCAAAAAGCAGAAGAGAAAAATTACACTTACTCAGTATTCTTCCTGTAGTTCCTACAAGCGGCATTTGAATTTGGATATAATATGAAGAATACTGTATTAAGACAATTTTTTATTGATTTTATACCACAGTGTTGCCTTGTTCCTTGTAGAGCTAGACGCATTGAGCAGAGGCTGTTAAAATACATTTCTAAGGAAACAAAGCAGCTAAGCATGATTTAAAAAAAAAAACTTCAGTGTTGGTACATAATCTATGAACAGGACAGGAATCTCTTCAAAGAAGTCCTGCTGACTTATGACCTTATTAACATGCTAGCACATGGAATGCTAAAAAAATGACAGAGTAAAGAAACTTTACAGAAAAAAAAGTG